CCCCGCACCCCCGCCGGCGGCGGCCGGGCAGCGGGCTGGGGGCGCCGGAGGCACACTTTGGCGATGAGGCGCCTTCCCCTGCGGACGGAGCGAGCGGGTGCCAGGGTCCAAGGACAAAGCAGAGAAGCGCTGGTGGCGCCGCTCCTCGGGCCGAGGGGGGGGCATGCACCTGCATAGCCCGCCCGGCCTTGCTCTCCCTGGCGCGCCTCAACTCCGCGGCTTCGCCGGCTCTGGATTTACTAGAAGCCATTTTGTCTCCCCCACCCCTCCCCTCCCCTCCCCTCTGCCCTCCCCACCCCCACGACTTCCCCCTTTTGTTAATTAAAAACTAAGAAGTCAGAATGGGGATGAGGCGTCCAGCTCCCATGGAGAAATCTTGAGGACACCACGCCAGCTCTTCCTTGCCTTCCCTCCGAGGTAGGTGACAGCGATCTGGGTGGGGATGGTGGCAATGTGGGAGAGAAAGTCTTGGCTTTGGGAGGGCTGGCCTTGAGGGTGGGTTGGCGGATGAGGGGCCGCTCTGTAGTTTGGCAGGATTTTTCTTGGCCGATCTGCTCTCTCTAATCGCCCCCTCCCCACCTCCTTCTCCAGATGGAAAGAGGAGCTCCTAGCTCACTTAAGCCGGGGTAGGGCTGGTTCTCCTTTCCGAGCCAAAATCCCAGGCGATGGTGAATTATGAACGTGCCACACCATGAAGCTCTTGTGGCAGGTAACTGTGCACCACACCTGGAATGCCATCCTGCTCCCCGTCGTCTACCTCACGGCGCAAGTGTGGATTCTGTGTGCAGCCATCGCTGCTGCCGCCTCAGCCGGGCCCCAGAACTGCCCTTCTGTCTGCTCCTGTAGTAACCAGTTCAGCAAGGTGGTGTGCACCCGCCGGGGCCTCTCAGAGGTCCCGCAGGGTATTCCCTCCAACACCCGGTACCTCAACCTCATGGAAAACAACATCCAGATGATCCAGGCTGACACCTTCCGACACCTCCACCACCTGGAGGTCCTGCAACTGGGCAGGAACTCCATCCGGCAGATCGAGGTGGGGGCCTTCAATGGCCTGGCCAGCCTCAACACCCTGGAGCTGTTTGACAACTGGCTGACCGTCATCCCCAGTGGGGCCTTTGAGTACCTGTCCAAGCTGCGGGAGCTCTGGCTTCGCAACAACCCCATAGAAAGCATCCCCTCTTACGCCTTCAACCGAGTGCCCTCCCTCATGAGACTGGATTTAGGGGAGCTCAAGAAGCTGGAGTATATCTCTGAGGGGGCTTTTGAGGGACTGTTTAACCTCAAGTACCTGAACCTGGGCATGTGCAACATTAAAGATATGCCCAATCTCACCCCCTTGGTGGGGCTGGAGGAGCTGGAGATGTCAGGGAACCATTTTCCTGAGATCAGGCCTGGCTCCTTCCATGGCCTAAGCTCTCTCAAGAAGCTATGGGTCATGAACTCACAGGTCAGCTTGATCGAGCGGAATGCTTTTGATGGGCTGGCCTCACTTGTGGAACTAAACCTGGCCCACAATAACCTCTCTTCTTTGCCCCATGACCTCTTCACCCCGCTGAGGTACCTGGTGGAGTTGCACCTACACCACAATCCTTGGAACTGTGATTGTGACATTCTGTGGCTAGCCTGGTGGCTCCGGGAGTATATACCCACCAACTCCACCTGCTGTGGCCGCTGTCATGCTCCCATGCACATGCGAGGCCGCTACCTGGTGGAGGTAGACCAGGCCTCCTTCCAGTGCTCTGCCCCCTTCATCATGGATGCACCTCGGGACCTCAATATCTCTGAGGGTCGGATGGCGGAACTTAAATGTCGGACTCCCCCCATGTCTTCTGTAAAGTGGTTACTCCCCAATGGGACCGTGCTCAGCCATGCCTCCCGCCACCCACGGATCTCTGTCCTTAATGATGGCACCTTGAACTTTTCCCATGTGCTGCTCTCAGACACTGGGGTGTACACATGCATGGTGACCAATGTGGCAGGAAACTCCAATGCCTCGGCCTACCTCAACGTGAGCACGGCCGAGCTCAACACCTCCAACTATAGCTTCTTCACCACGGTAACAGTGGAGACCACAGAGAGCTCGCCCGAGGACACAACACGAAAGTACAAACCTGTTCCTACCACGTCTACTGGTTATCAACCGGCATACACCACCTCTACCACGGTGCTCATTCAGACCACCCGTGTGCCCAAGCAGGTGGCAGTACCCGCGACAGACACCACTGACAAGATGCAGACTAGCTTGGATGAAGTCATGAAGACCACCAAGATCATCATTGGCTGCTTTGTGGCAGTGACTCTGCTAGCTGCCGCCATGTTGATTGTCTTCTATAAACTTCGTAAGCGGCACCAGCAGCGGAGTACAGTCACAGCTGCCCGGACAGTTGAAATTATCCAGGTGGATGAAGACATCCCAGCAGCAGCATCCACGGCAGCAACAGCAGCTCCGTCCGGTGTATCAGGTGAGGGGGCAGTAGTGCTGCCCACAATTCATGACCATATTAACTACAACACCTACAAACCAGCACATGGGGCCCACTGGACAGAAAACAGCCTGGGGAATTCTCTGCACCCCACAGTCACCACTATCTCTGAACCTTACATAATTCAGACCCATACCAAGGACAAGGTACAGGAAACTCAAATATGACTCTCCTGCCCCAAAAAACTTACAAGACGCAATAGAATGCACACACACACACACACACACACACACACAGCAACTTTTGTACAGAGTGGGGAGAGACTTTTTCTTGTATATGCTTATATATTAAATCTATGGGCTGGTTAAAAAAACAGATTATATTAAAATTTAAAAAGAAAAAATCAAAACAAAACTATTTTCTAACTTGTAAGTTCTATTTAAGGGGAGGGAGGGGCATCTTGGGAACGTTGTGGGGGTACAAACCACAAGTCAACTTGCTATGCTGCCAGAAGGGATTTCTGGTGTAAGGTGGAAACTGCTAAGATAAAACAAACTAAAACAACAACAACAAATACCCTACACCCCCAAAGAGGTAGGGTGTGGGCTGCTGAGGAGTAGGAGGAATAAACTGCATCTGTCATTTTTTTAGAAGATGCTTCCTTCATAGGATACAGGAATACCCATTTCTACAGACATCTTTCTTAAGCTGAGAGCTGTCTTTGCAGATTTATCTTATTTTAAAAAAAAGAAACAAAAACAACAAAACAAAGAAAAAAAAGCACTATGAATTTGTACTGTGCCAAAATGTTGAGAGGCAATAATTTTTTTTTTTCCAGAGGCCAAGGGGAGACAGATCTGTAAATGGGTTTTAAACAGGAAAACCACCTAAATTCAAATGAATCCTTAAAGGGGCTGAGTCTTTGTCCATGTGCACAAGTCCTGGATGTGTGCACTGGGACACGAGTATTCCTTGCCTGACCGTGCTTCAGAACGGAGCCGAGAGGAAAGGGAGCTGGCGTAGCTCTGAGTCAAATGCTTTCACACTGCACCAGATTCCTGCAGTTGGGCTTAACCCACTCTGCAAGGCATGTGTCTATTCAGGGTTTCCCAGAAGGAGGAGGCCCCTGAAGTGGGTGCGGCACCAGGGAGGCTAGGAAGGAGAGCAGCAGCAGAGGGAATGATTCACAGGAGGCCATAAATTAGCATTGTGCTGTGTCCACCTGTTGTTTCGGGTATCTGACAAATGATTGTAGACAATGATGACATTTTATGATTTTTCAAAAAAGGTCTTGTTTGTTTTAAGGTGGAGAGGGAGGAGTGGCTGGGAGTGGGGAGCTTGGGGGAGTGGAAGCTTTTCTCATGCTTGGGATTTGGTGACTATTCTAAATGCTGATTCATTAGGGATTATTACAGTTGATGCCAACTGGTTGTGGTGATGGAGTGGGGGCAGAACATGAGTAGAGAAGCAAAAAGGAGAGACAAAAAGGGCACAGGCTCACTTAAGGAAGCCTTTCCCATCCAGGATGCTTCACAGAAACGATGTGAAATCCAGTTAAGAGTGACACGCATGCATATGTGAGTGAGTTCTGCATGGAGTCCTGTTGAATGGGGCACCGTGGGGGAAGCTTCCCTCTCCAAGGCCCACCTCTGAGGAGGTCTAGGAGGAAGGGTGGGGGCTGGGGAAGGCAGAGATCTCTGTTATTCTGGACCATTTAATGATGTAACTTCTTTCAGTTATTCTTTTAGCTTTAAGAGGACAAAAGGGTTCAGATTTGAAAGGGGGTGGTATGGGTGGGGGGGAATGCCAACAAAGCAACACTGATTGTAATGTGAGAAAAGTGTATTTTTGTATTTTAATAAATATTGTTCAATTTTTAATTCAATGTCCCCAAAGGGTTAAATTGAATAAGATACTGAAACTATAGCTTCTTATGAACATTGACCAAGTCATTTCTATGAAGAAAAAAGGGGGGAGGGAAAGGGAGGGGAAAAGTACGGTGGTGGGGGTGGGGGAAGATACATGTTAAATTTTTTAAAAGTATGGGAAAATGCTGAAGCTGTCAACAACCTTTCCTTAGCTTAAATAAACGCACCCCAATTCTAGTGCATCTTCCACGAGCTAAGTGTGTTAGTCCCTGGCTTTGTTGGGGGTATAACCAAATTCCCCATGCCCCGGAAAACCAGGGGAAATGGGTCAGCCTCAGCTCCTGGGACCTGGCCAGAAGTTAAATGCCACCTCAGCAAAAGCTGCAGGTCAGGCAGCGCCAGCTCTACCTAAGAACCCAAGGGGGCCTGGATTTAAGAGGGCTGCAGTAATGTAGTTTGGCTGCAATTTCCCACAGGCAGTGCTGCTTCTGTTTTCTTGGTGTTAAATAGTCCAACGTGTCCTGGTGGAGGTGGGGTCTGTCTCCTGAGGCTCCCAGAGCAATGAGTGCCAGGGAGGCTCCGTGAGCTGGGGCGCTGCGTTTCTTTAGCGCTAGTATTTATATTAATGCAGGGAATGGGGACTGAGTGGGTGTGAGGCACTGAGGAGGGAAACAGGCAGGCAGCACTTTGCAGCAGTTGCTAAGACATGGCTAAGGAAGGTCCAACTCTTAATCCTCCTGGGCACAAAGGTCACTTCTGGGTACCAGTGTTTGTGGAAGCATATACGCACAGGTGAACAACTGTAAATTGCCACTCACGTTCCTAGGCACTGAAGATCTGTTCCCTCAGCCTTTCCTTTACCACTCTACCCTCAAGAAGAGAAAACTGCAACAGACCAAAGGGTGGGACTTGGCTAGGACCAGTTGCAAAATCAAAAAATGACTTCCTTTTCTCGTGCCACACACCACCACTCGGGCTGTTTAGGACAGTTTCCCAGGTATACATCCCAGGGCAACTGTAGAAGTTGTTTCAGAGACAATAGATGGACAGCCAGTTTCCTAACACCTTTCATTTTTAAAAAGCTATTGGGCAGTCAGGAAATTATGCAGTAACTCTGCAGTGACAAAAGGTCTGTGGCTACACAAAGGTTTGAGGGGAGAGGTAGAGAAACGGGACTAAAGCAATCCTGGGAAGAGTCCTCAGAACAGAGGCCTTTGTCCTGGGAACAGTTATATTCAGATCTTGGGATATGAGGGAGAAATGCTTTCCAGAGGGACCTCGAGGGATGGAGGGAGAATGAGAATATGGTTCCTAAGCAGAAGCATTTTTGGTGCTGCAAGGGCAGTTCCTTTCCCCAGGAGGTCTCTTCAGTATGGCATTGTTTCAGCTTGTGGACCAGGATCCTTCCTTTGCTGTGGTCCTGGGTACATCCTCTTCAGTAGCAGGAACTTGAGACGGCTTTTCAGAGAAGGACCCCATGAGCATAGAAAGCGCAGCCCTTAAGGCTGTTTGAGTGACTCATCCTTGGGCTTGGCCAAGCTGTAAGGTTGGTTACCTGGGAATGGAACGTGGGTTGGAAGCTCTTCCCGGGAGTAGTTATAGCAACACATTAGAGGTAAAGACTCTGCCGTTGATTATATGGAGTTATAGAATTTTCATTATAGAATTTTTTTAAGGCTGTGGAAAATCATTTAGTTTAATCCCTTTGCATTTTACAGTCAAGGAAACGGAGCCCCAGAGAAATTGAAAGACATATCCAAGGTCACACTGCTAGTTAGTGGAAGAAGTGGGACCAAACCCTAGGTCTCTTAACTTCCAAGTCAAACATGATTTCTCACTCAAGCTTTTACTGGCTATCATGAACATATTTCTTTCCTTGCTAATAGGCAGTTACAATGTGTCTTCCATAGATACTTCTGTGTTCTCGTCTCCTTCTGCTGAGAGCTGTTCATTCTCCATCACAACCAGCTCTACTGCCTTGCAAAGCCTAACCAAAATTCTGATCACAGGGCTCTACATGTATTCACTAAGGGGCTGGACTCTCAGCATTGGACACAACAGTTTTCTGATGCTTGGGCTTAATGGTAGACAAATTGCAGAGTCCCACAGTTAGGGATAGCTACAGCAGAAAGGGTGAAGTAGGTAAAACGGTGCATTTACAGTGAGAAAGATGGGTTGGCCTCCTCCCAACCTTGGGCTGGACAGCTTTGCAGAGTAGAAGACTGACAGAGGTCTTGAAACACCACAGAAATACTCCACAGTGGAGTGGTTCCTACATTTGGATCAATGATGAGGACAAGGGGAGCAGGGGGGTGGGGGGAGTATGCTAACTTAATAGCCCCCCCACCCCACTGTATCTACCCAGCCTGAAGTAGTTGCCCCTTCCATAATCTGCTCCACGGCTTATCATCCTCCAGTGTCATGCTGCACCCTATTATCAGTGAAGGTAGACAGGCTAGTTTCTAAGGCCTGGAGACATTACTTTATCGTGGCTATTTAGCATGTATTGAGGCCAGCAACTTGCTGGGTGCTGGATGGAACAATGTGCACGGAGTCCCTGCAAGGCAATTCTATTGTTGGCAGGGAAGAGGCCCAGAGTCCATGGCCTTTGGCTTCATTCAGTGGTGCTGACTAGACTGGGAGAGCACTAAGAGGGTCTTACTCACTCTAGGCTTCTCCCCTACAGGGCTGGAATCCATAGTTAAGGCTCCACCATTTTACTGCAACAAAGCAGTAAGGGCTTAAAATTAAGAGAAGGAGAGAGAATGTTTATATCCAAACATATATCTGATTTTATCTCTCTTGCTGGCACCCAGCACTCCATGCCATCAGCTAATGCAGGCACTGTTCACGCCATTCCTAAATCCTGCCTCAGCTAAACTGCAAGGCAGCTTTTGGCTCAAAGCAACTAGCTTGGTCTCCATCCATTTAAAAAGCACCCTTTCCTGCAGTGGGAAAAAGGGTTTGGGCAGTGGAGTCACACTGTTTCTATCTTTGCTTTAAATTAAAATGAAGTAAATTACTCTTTGGAGCAGGATTAAGGACTCCAAGAACTAGAATGGTCAACACACAAAGCAGTGTAGCATAGGGCTTAAGCAGACTCCGTGGTCAGTCTCCCTGGGCTGAATGCCAGCCCATCACTTACTAACTCTGTGACTTTGGGCAGATACT